GGGGCTCCCAGCCTGCACTCAATCCGCAGCTACCCCCGCCACCACTCCCAGGGGCCGGAGCTAGGTTTCCTTGTGCACCCTCTTTAAGATGAAAACCAGCTTTTTGGAAGGACAGGAACGTTTTCTGGGAAAGTTTTTTTTTATCTTTGGCGTTTTCTGCTATTGACTAAAGTGAAATGTTCGGTTTGGTCTCCGTTTCTGGCATGTGCGGGGTGGGTTCCCTCCAGAAAAATGAAATGACAATTTTCTGCTTGAAATGATACGAAAACAATTCTGTATCCTTTGGATTTTTTTTGTCTTTCTGAAAACACACTGCATGGTGTTGAGCAGCCGCGTGTTAAAAGGCCCTTCAGAGCTGGGTGAATGGGGGGGGGGGGATCCTGGCTTGGCAGAAATAATTGATCAAGTTTGGGGGCAGGCGGGAGCTGTGAACGGGGACCGGAAAGCTTACTTGGAGCGGGACAGGGACTGCCTTTAAGTGTTTGTACAGCACCTTGCAGTGGGCCCTGTTCTGTGATTGGAGATTCTAGGCGCTACCCCAATGCAAATACATAATGACAGCTATATCAACTGCAGGAAAGGGGTGCTCCTGGAGAGCATGTTTGCGGGGGGGCGGGTTGTATGTAATTCCCTGAAAAACAGGGAGATGGATTGGAAAAAAAAGTCCCATTGTAATTTAGTTGATTTAGATTTGAACAGGGTACCATGTCAGGGTCTAAGCCCCTCCCATTCACTGCAAGGACAGTTTTCAGCACAGCTAGGATCTTAGCATAATAATGAACAGCCATTATGATATGACCGCAGGTCTCCCCCAAGTAATCATTATAAACAACTCCCCGTGTCCCATCCTATCTCCAAACACCCCTGGAGAAAGGTGGGCTTTGCAGCATATACAGCAAGGTTAGGACCCCTGCTCAGTTGGATGGATGGAAAGGCCCTGATCCTCAAAGGTAATCCATTTGAAATCAGTCAATTATCCTTGAGGCTCCAGGCCTCAGAGCCTGTCTGTAGGTTCCTGGAAGCTTCCTTAAACAGCTGGAGGTTTCAAACTTGGGTATTGAACTTGTCCTTTCTTTACATGGTTGTTTGGCCTTTTCAGTGTAAAGATTATTTCTGCCTCCATCAAAAATCTGAAGCCACAGATTGCCCCCAGCTGTGTCAGGAATCAGGCTTCTCTGAGCAAGAGTAGGAGCAGTATAGTTACAGTTAGTTCTGCTTTTCCCCTTCCTTCCCTTTCTCGGTATCCTGTAATGAGGCCTTAGAAAACCACAAAGGGAAATGATTCCTAAGGGTTGGGATGCTGGCCTATCGTTTTAATCCAAGCTCTGGCAGCTTTGAGGGTAAATCACGTCACTGCTCTTTGCCTCAGTTTCCCTGCCTGGGGAAATAGTCATTTACCTCCAGGGGCTTGAGGCTTAATTAGTGTTTTGTAAAAACGTTGAGCTCCTCCCACGAAAGCTGCTCATAAATTTGCTCTTCATGCAGTCTATTAAGCTACCGTTTGAGAAAACAAAATCAATCTCAGACCCACCCAGTGTCCTATTCATGTTACAGAACAAGACTTCAGAAGAGCCTTCAGTCTAAGGCCTGGCTTACGCTTAAAAGTTCGGTCGACATAGGTACGGCATTTGCGGGGGTGAAAAATTCATACCCTCGAGTGCCGTAGCCATTCTGATCTAAACCCAGTGGCAACGTGGCTAGATTGATGGAATAATGCATCCATCAACCTTGCTACCATTGCTCGGAGGCAGGGTGTGTGTGTGTGTGTGTGTGTGTGTGTGTGTGTGGATTACCTACAGCCACAGGAAAACCCCCTTCTGTTGCTGTAGGAAGCGTCTGCACTATGGCACTACCGTGGCATAGGTAGGGCACCATCGCTGTGCCGTTGTAATGCCTGTAGTACAGGCATGGCCTAAGAGACAAAGATCGAACAAGATCTATTGGCTGGAAGCTGAAGCTAGACCAATTCAGACTGGAAATAAGGTGCACATTTTTAACAGTGGGGATAACTAACCATCAGAACAATTGACCAAGGGTCACCATCGCTGGCAATCAAGATCTGATGTTTTCTGTAAAAGATCTGCTTTAGTTAAAACAGGAATTAACTCGGGGAAGTTCTGTGGCCTGTGCGATGGGGGAGGGCAGACGAGATGGCCTACCAAGCTGTGAATCTGTGTGACATTGACACAGCTATGCTTTTGATACTCTTGTTATTGTAGCCTTGGTTTTAATGTGCATGTGTTTTCTGACCAAATCTTTAGCTGGTTTTAGACCAAACCCTGGTTTTCAGAAACTCCACCCTTCACATCTCCCTCAGCCCAGTCTGCTTTCAGCTATTCGCACCGAGGAACTGAAACAAGCTGGTGGCACCCTGAATTAAGGAGCCCTGCTGTTCTGATCCTAAACCCTCCCCTTTGGGCTGTGACTAAATCCAAACTTTGACTGAAAATGCGTTGGTTTGTACAGCGTCCCTGTCGCTTGAGGTTTTGGAAGATCTTGTGCTGTTTTGCAAGTTTCCCGTGTTTCTTCAGCAATAACAGATTTGTTTGTTTATAAAATTGAGTCATCAGTCACTGTTCGTTATTCTGCAGTCAAACGCAGTGGAATTGTTCTGAAAACTCGGGGTACTCGCACGTCTCGAATCGGGTAGGGGAGCTACGCGCATTGCCTTGTCTTGGGGAGTTGGGAAGGGTCAGAGGAAGTGATGATGGGTGGCAGGTCCTTTCACCGCTAGACTGCAGGCTCAAATACAGGTTGGAGATCAGTGAAAGTTGTTACTTGCGGCTGTTTGGTGACCTGTGTGAAATGAAGTGGAGAGACTCACTCCGTGGGCCTAATTCCTTGCTGGTGTAGAGAAGCCAAGGATTGAACTGGGTCATGGTGAATGAGCTCCACTCTGGATGTGGCCCCAGGATAGGGCTACAGCAAGGTGATGCAGTGGGGTCAGTGATTTAACTAGAGCTTTGTGGTCTCCAGGCGGGCAGTCTGGCATCTTTCGCCAGCAATGCGTTTGTCTTCAGGGTGCAGACATTGTGCTGGCAGTAGGCACAAGCTGTGAGTTTGGATGTGGAACAGTGCTCCACCAGATTATTATAGTGAACTGATTGTTACATTCCTGTAGCACTTTTCGGGGGGGGCTCTGCCTGAGAGGAAGGATGGGCCAGTGGCTAGAATGGTCGCTTGGGAATTGGAGGACCTGCGTTCAATCCCCTTTTTCACCATACATTTCCCATGTGACCTCAGGCAAGTCACTTTAGTCTCTATGTGCCTCAGTTCCTGTAAGCTATAGAACGGCACTTCCCTATTTCACAGGGAGAATAAATGCACACATTCGTAGGTCCCAAGGCCAGAAGGGACCACTGTGATAATTTAATGTGACCTCCCGAATAATACCTGCGAGAGACCTTGCCAAAGTAATTCCTGTTTGAAGCAGAGCAGATCTTTTAGGAAAACACCCAGTCTTGATTTTAAAATTGCCAGGGATGAAGAAACCACCAGGACCCATTAAATATTGCGAGCCACTCAGTCGTTCTGGCCTGTGTTGTCACATAAGTGCCTGAAATAGATGGGAGAGTTCTCAAAGGGCTTGGCCAGCCTGGATTCCTCAGCCGCATTCTGCCAGTGCAGTCGGAGGGGAGTCCAGCCGAGAACGAGAAATGTTCCGATCTCTCGATTTTGTTCTCTTGCGGGGCGGGGAGAACCCCTGCCCGTGTTCTCTGCACCTGTTCACCTTGACATTCTCGCTTGCAGGGCTGCCACTGCACGGAGAACTGGTCACCCCTCACTGGCTTCTGAGAGGACGCAGCAGGCGAGCTGTCAGCGTGGCCGAAAAGGTGGGTGAGATTGAAAGCAAGCATGTTTCTTGGCTCCCCCTCCAGCCATACCCTGAGTGGTCTGGGACATAAAGGGTTAAGCCAGGGCTTGAGCAACATGCTCTTGTATTGTATTGTGAGTGGGAAGCTCTCCTTACCCAGTGTCCATGTATGGGGCTAAGAAGTCAATATCTGCACAATCTGAGCTGTGAGAGAGATTTTTTTTGAAGAGATCTTTTGGCCCTGTAGGTTGCTGAAATCACCTTCTCCCCACAGTGCAGTGTACGGCTGTCCCTCTGCCCCTACAGGCCGGCAGCCCCAGTGCCTCTGCTGCGGCTCAGAGTTTTGGCCAAGGCCAGTTGTTATTTAGGGTGTGACTTTCCTGCTGGCAATAGGTACCAGCTGTGAGTTTGGATCTGGAACAGAACTCCACCATTATTAGGTCAGTTTTTGCAGCTGCTGTTCGGCCAGGAAACTGACTCGATTTCTGTATCATTCACGCTGCTGCTGCTCCTTGTGGAAAAGGGCTACTCTGAGGAGAAGGGCACCTCAAACACGAGAGGCTGGGTGAGGGGCAGAGTAGGAGACCCCTGGCTGTCCGGGGATTCTGCAATGGCACGGGGAAAAGACTTCTTTCCTGTTCCAGCAGGCAAGTGGCCATGAAGATCGGGCTCTCGTGCAGTTCTCTCTCTGGTGAGAAAACCCCCGGAAAGCCTCCGTTGTCTCAGCAAGATTGTTTCTGTCATGTTACTAGAATCTTTGTGGCTAAGCTGTCCGTTGCTCCTGCAATACAAGGAGCAGTTGTGAGGAGGAGGCCTTGAGTTTCAGGCGGGGCCTTGAGTTTCAGACGGATGTGCACGTAGCCTGGAGGGGCTGGGTGAGGCCGCCACTGTGTAAATAGCCTCCTTAATATAGGGCCTGTCATCCCGAAGGATCCAAAAGCACTAGAGACCCTTTGTGCGGGGAGCAGTGACATGCACGTGGGATCTGTTCTGTAGTGGCTGCGTGGTGGTCTGTAGGTGGGAAGTGGGAGATGACATCTTTGAATGCAACCCCAGGCGCACTCAGGAGGATGGAATGTAACTTTTGATTGGAGTTCGGCCAGGACACTGGGGGAGACCCTTAAAGACCACGATGGTTCAGGAGACCTTGGAGAGATGGACAGTGCCGAGCAGTGCCTGGGGCAGCCCCACCTGGCTGGCGTGTGCTGCGTTGCATGATGGGTGCAGCCTTCATTTGCAAGGCCGCCTTTGCAGTCACCAGTTTTTTCCTTTTTTTTTTAACGTGTTTTGTGTGATGTTGCTCTGTGACCTTCCCTGGTTCTGCCCGGGCCTGGCACGGATCCCAGATCTCGGGCGCTGCTTCTCTTCTCGAGCAGCTGGCCTCTCAGCCGCTTGGTACAGGCGAGTCTCAACTTACGCGCATTTAACATGCGCAAATTCAGCTTTGTGCGGTCGGCAAAAACAAAAAACAAAACGAAAAAACAAAAGAGAAAAATAACAATTTAAATACCGTACCTGTAGCGCGGGCGATTCCGCCCGTCATTACACTCAACGTAATTTTGATGATACGCGATTTTCGCTTTACGCGCTGACAGCGGAACGTAACCCCAGCGTAAGATGACTCGCCTGTATGCTCTTGTGCTCACCATCTTGGTTCATCTCCTGCCTTCACCCCCAGGTACAGGGGTCAATTGTCTCATGCCTCCTCCACGTGCCTCAGTTTCCCCCCTCAGTAAAATGGGGGCAACGTTACCAACTCACCTCCCTGGCGAGGCTGTGAGGCCTCATTGATGTCTTGTAAAGCGCTCTGAGGCCTTGGGGTGATAGCCCCCGGGTGGAACATTGAGGTTGTTAGTGGCCATTGAATGATTGAATTCCATGGTGAGACGTCTTCATCCAGCAGCTGCGTCCCACGGCCGGCTCCTCTCCCTGCCCGTAGCAAGAAGGATCAGCACCAGGCGCCCTCCCACCTTAGCCCGCGGGGTTGCTATGGCTCCCATGGTCCGTTCATAGGAAGGGATTGCTCCATTCCCAGTGAATTACAGCAGCGAGGGGGAGAGGGCCCAGGTCTATATATAGGCCAGAGGGCAGTCAAGGCGGGGAATGCGGGATAGCCAGGAAGTTTATTTATATTGTTGCTTACATCCTTCTGCCTGGAATCCACTCAGAAGATGCTGGGACTGGGGGAAGATCACTGGGATAGACTGTGTGTGCGCGTGTGTGTGCGCGCGCGCTGGGGCCCTGGCTTTGCACAGGCCATTGGAGGCAACGTTAAAACATCACTTACCAGCAGGATTACAAGGAGGGAGGGGCGAGACCCCTGTTCATTTCCTGGCATCTGTTCTGCCTCAAGTGACTCCAGGCAGAGCAAGACAAGAAGGCGGCTGTCCTGGCGGGGAGGGAGTGCTGCCTGAGAGCAGGAAGAGTGTGTGTAGGCAGGGGGGTGGATTGTGGGAACCAGACTGGGGTTGGGGGAGGGCAGATCTGCATTCTCGGCGATCTCAGGGGATCAGAAGTTCCAGGCACTAGCTCTAAAGTGGACGTCAGTACTGTGCCCCTCACCGTGGGATCTTGGCGCTGAATGACAGTTGTTTCGAGGCAACCCCCTGATTACACCAAGGACAGGGCTCTGCATATCCTGTCTTATTTCCCCCTCGCCCCCACATCAAACAGCCTGCTTAGACTCAACGAGGCCACGTGAATGGTCAGAACCCGCCTGTTTTATGAAGGATCTCTTTGGAACTGGCATGCCCCCAGCCCGCCAGGGCACGGCGCAGCCTGGGTCGCATGCAGTGAAGCCAGAAGCCCGGTGCTGCTGCTGGCGTGGCTGGACTGGTTACTAGTCATGCTGTGAAATCAGGCTCTGACCGCAGGGTGTGAGACGGGGGCAGGGGTGCTGCGGGGCTAGTGCACGGTGCCCATTGCCCAGAGGGGAGGCTGGAGCTGAGCAGGGGCTGGGTAACATCCAGACTGCTAATGAGATTTGTGGCTCAGAGAGGTGAGGAATCAAATCTCGTGCTGCCAGCCTCCAGGGGCACAAAGGCATCTTCTCCTCCCCACCCGTGCGTATGGCCATGCACATCTGGCTAGGTACCTTCCTCCAAAGCATCAGAGGTGAGCACCTTCCAGGCATGGGGGTAGGTGGGCCCAGGCAAGGATTCAGGGCCCCAAATCCTGTGCAAATAACATTCTGCTTTTCCCTAACACCCGCCCCGCAAGGGTCTCTGAGTGCTGTGGGGACATGAGTGAACGCGGCTTCGCAACCCCACCGTGAGCTGGGAAAACAGTAGCCCTGTTTTAGAGATAAGGAAACTGAGGCATGAAGCGGGGGGAAGTGACTTGGCCAAGGTCATGGGGCAAATTAGTGGCAGAGCGGGCACTAGGCGATCGGGTACTTTACAAGTTCTGAGTTAGGTTCTTTCTAGCCCGGATAGCCTGGTTCTGTGTTTTGCCTTCCTGCCTCAGTGGTGACTCGGATCCGCTCTCCCTAGAGGTCTAGAGACGTATCATGGAACAATCCCCTTCGTCTCCTCGGCAAACTTGATCAGGAGGTATAACGAGATCCAAGGGCTGGAAGTTGAAGACAGACAAATTTAAACCTTGATTTAGACAGCTTTAATCCAGCTTCTGTGGGCAACTCCACAGCCTGTGTGCGCGGGGGGAGAGGGTGTCAGGCTGGTTGGTCAGGGTGGTCCATTCTGTCAATCTATGAATCCCCTTGTTCATTCTCATCCTTCTGGGAGAACAGGTCGCCCGCCTGCCTTCAACCTGCTCATCTTAACAATGGCAATTCTGCATTAACACTGTGCCTATAATCAAATCTCCATCTTCAGCTGGTCGCCTGAAGCGGGTCAGGAAGGAATTGTTTCTCCCCCCCGATGCACAAATGATCAATGTATTGTCTCCCCCTGCCACCCCACCCCAGCCTCAGGGGCTTCTGAAGCATCAGAGATTAGCCCGGCTGGAGACTGCTCTGAGGTGGGACAGAGAATCCACTTATTAGATGCCGGCTGCTGTGTCTTGCTCAGGTGCTCAGGGTGACGCTGGTGGCCAGAGGTGGGGCTGGGAAGGGATTTCTCGCCATGGACCTTGGGGTGGATCATCTGGGCACAGCTCACCTCATCAATTCCCTGCCGTGGCACCTCAGTCTCCCCTGGTCTCTCCCGGTGGCTCGCAGGACTGAAATGCTTTGGGCTAACTAGCGTCACGGGCTCAACGCAGGGGTGTTGGGGTGACGTTTAACGGCCTGGCACGCCCAGGAGGTCAGACAAGAGGACCAGCTTGCCCGGGGTTGTGGTGACCCCCCTTCGCTGGGGATCGGCAGACCTAGGCAGTAAGATGCACTCTCGTCCAGCCAGTGCGAGGGGCCTTGGGGAATTAATTCAGGGAAGGGCTGTGGCCTGTGCTGGGCCAAATGATCACAGCGTTTCCCCTCTCGCCTGAAGCTCCATCCCAGGGGCACAGTGACAGGATCTGCCCAAGGCCAGGAGCCTTTGCTCTGTTCCCCACGTAGCAGCTTGTGCAGGATCCTAGGGGTTGGGGCGAGTAGAGGCAGGGAGAAGAACTAACCCCACCTTGGAGCAGGTGCGTGGGTGGCGTCGTGTTCGCTGTGGTCTCGCTGCGGCGGGGGGTGCTCCTCGCAGGCAGCAGGGCGGACATCTCTTGTATCCTGTTTCCTTTCTCTCCCCCTCGCTCTGCGTGCATCACTGAGCCGGCTAACCTGCTGGCTGCTCTCGCCAGCTGCCGCCCTTCTGCCGTGGGGGTGACACGAGGAGAGAGGTCGTAGGTTGCTGTGACTGGCCATCCCGGTGGCTCTGATCAGATATCTCAGTGTCAGCCACCATCCTCCCCCTAGACCACGAGTGCTCTGTGCTCCCACCGGGACTCGGGGGAGAGCACGGCAGGCTGGGGCAGCGAGAGCCCTGGCGGGAGGAGCGTGGGACAGCTGGACTCTGCAGTGATTGCCTAGGCCCTAGGAGAGCCCTGTGTCTCGGGGAAGGGGGGAGGGGCTGCCTGTGA